GCTTGCCTTTTTTTGCTATGTTGTTTTTGCTTTTTTATTGTCATCATTGGTGGAGGGATCTATTCCATGATGATGTTATTTGCTGAATCCTTATTGATGAGTATTATTTTGGAAGCCACTCCTGGCTTTGGTTAGGAAGTCATTCCTAGTCTTGACATTCTCTTGGATCATCCTTCATTCAATTGAGGAGTAGGGCGCGATGGCCTCTTCATGCTTACAGACTTGCTTGTTTGGTCGATTCTATTCTATTCCACTTTTGATATGTCTTTGCTTAGTGGGCACATAGAATCACTTGGGGTTGCCATTTGACATCGCTTCAACTCATGCTTGGCTATTGAGATTTTACGAGTGCTTTGACCTGATGACTTCTTCTGACCCATAGCAAGTAGCATGCATGGATGCATGGATGTAATGAAAATGCAAGGCAGGAATGATTCTTTTATTTATTTTTTGTGTAACGCCCTTCCATATGCCCCTAACTCATATGCATGCGATGCAGTTTATGCTCATGTGTTTGTTCCTAAAGATGCAATTCATTTTTTTTTATGTCGGGAAATTAACCTGTACGCATTAAGGTTAATGATGATGATTCCTTTTTATCCATGTCATTTTTTATTATTGTAGATAGCATGGAAAGGATAATAAAGGAACAATCAGGAATCCAAACATGACTGGGTTTAATAAAATAGGGTATCCCATACCTCACGAGCGCTGCAAAAAATGAAGGCCTTGCAGGAAACCCACTAAGGGGGCTGTGCAAAAGTTAGAGCAAGATCTGCTAGGAAACCCACAAGAAAAATTGGGTAACCTAGGCAAAAGTAAGGATCAAAGAAAAATGTCTGCTAGGAAACACATCCCAAGTGACCTAGGCAAAAGTTAGGACATTAAAGCAGCTACTTGAGTTGAAAATCGAAAGGCAACTCAGGGGAACCATTCAATCAAAGCGCGACCCATATATATATATATGTGTGTGTATTTGTAAATTTTTAGTTCATTTATATGATTCAATTAAAAACAAATATATGAAAATGATGGTGCTTGGTTCTAAATAAAAAAATGTCATTATAAATTAATTTTCTTACATTATTGCTTTAATTAAGAGGGAAAAATTAAAGTATCATTAAGGTGAGATAATTTTTGTTGTCTCTTTTAATTTGAAGTGTTTATTTATTTATTTTTTTTATCAAGTTATTTGTAAGAATTATTTATCAATTTTGTAATGATTCGCCTAGCCGTCACACAACAAACAACACCACACATAATAGAATATGCATATAAATAGAAAATATATACACAAAGGTCTAGCTTGGGGCTCAACAAGTTAATATAAAAAAAATAATATCAACCTAGCTACTCTAAGTAGCCATATACAACAAAATATCAGCTCCATCGGCCAGCTGCAGTCCTGCTACTACACTCCAACCTATCTCTGTTTTGCTCCTATACATAGTATGATCATTATAGTCCAACCCACATGAAAACAGTCAAGGGTAAGCTAGTGAAAAGAATCAGCATATATAGAATTTATAAACATTTTCAACTTAACAGCACACATCATCAAATTCAACAAAGTTGACATACAACACATAATAACATACATCTACATCTCAGCTTCACAACACACTGCTCACATACAGCTCATATCATTCAGCAAATTCAACATCTAACAACTTATGCGTCGTCATGCATTTCAACTCGATTTGGTCGCTTATAAGCGGTATAGCTCGACCTGGCCCCTATACCGTGGTCGCTTTGTACACGTATACCTCGACCTTGCCCACACACGGGACCAACTAAGTACTTAGAGGAGAACAACATAGTGACCACTCCAAGGGACAACTTCCCAAGGAGGGTTTTCAACAAATTGGACTCTAAGAGCACCACAGCTTCCTCAATCCACACAAAGAATGAGCAACTTCAAAAAACATCTCCTCTAGTCTTAGTGATCAACAGCTCAGCCTTACGGCCTACACAACTCACATTCAACAACACAACTCAACAATTTTAAACAACATATTCAACACTCAGCACAGCTCAGCTTAATAGCATTAACAGCTTAGACAGCATACAACACAGTTCGGTATAACAACATTCATCAGCATAAGAATCATACAACATAAACATCATACAACATAGCTCAACTTTACATCATACAGCATTAATCAGCATAGTCATAAAAAAACACATCCGCCCCTGGCGCAATAGGATTTGCGCCCGACTTGGACCAACTAGAGAGCTCCAAAGCTCTTACGCGCCCAGCGCAATTGCGCAATAAAAGGTAGAGACTCTCAGGAGTCTCACAAGCCCGGCGTACCAAACCCGCGGTCGGTGCAAGTAAGGCAGAGACCTCTCCAAGGTCTCACGCCCGACGCAATTTTAATTGCGCCCGGCGCCAGCCCTGGAAGAGACTCCCAGGGAGTTTCAACGCCCGGCGAGATCTAATAACGCCCGGCGCCACACCAGTAACCCAACTACTTGAGTTCCTGTCTGATGTCACGCCCAGCGCAGTTCTTCCATGCCCGGCGTGAGCCATCTAGGGGCTTCCACTCCCAAGCTCGCCCGGCGTAGTCAACCTTGCGCCCGACGTACTTGATCAATGGAACTCTCTGATGGTTACACGCCCGGCGCCAAGAACTACGTCCAGCGCAATTACAAACAACAACCCTCAAACTTCAAAAATTTCACCCAAAACATGCAAAATCAACCAGCTCAAACACATGCAATCCATCAAATGAACCACATTTTCAGCAAACAACTCAAAAATCATCACTTTTACAACATGCAACCATTAAACACTCAAAAATTCCCATTTTTCCAATCTTCCCGAAAACCCCGAAAATGAGCAACACTTCAATCCGACCTTCAATCTCCTAAACCCAAGCATCAAATGAGTCTCTAAACTCGTTTACAACAAATTCGCACGAATCTAGCTTTCCTTACCTCGGAGGAGAAGAATTCCGAGCTTCCGAAAAAAGGAGGAGAAAGAGAGAAATGAGAGGAGAAAAGGAAGTTCGCGCCCTCAGCTAGAAACCAACACCTCTACTCAGTACCTACAACCACCAAGGAAGATGAGAAAGGAAAAAGAGAGAATGGTAGGAAAATGAATGTGAATAGGGAAGGAAGATGAGAAAAGAGAGAGAGTTATGGGTCTCACAAATTTTATTTTATTAGAGAATTTGGTTCAAACTTAATCTTTGGTGAGTTTCGTTTTTCAATCATATTTTTCTTATATATAAAATTTGAATCTAAAACTTTATTTAAGAGAATAAAATTTAATATTATTTAAATTAATAATTTGTTGATCTTTTAATTTGAACTATTTGAAATTGTATATGATATTTGTATATAAAATATGAAAAAAAAATAAAAATATTTGTATACGATATTAAATATTATATTTTTGTCCAAATAATGAAACTGATTTTAAGTTGCACACCTTTTACCTTTAGTTTTTAGTATACAAAATATTTTATACACATGCATAAAACACTTTTTCCTTGACTTTCTTTACATGAAATAAGTAAAGCATGGACTGATAAACGTGAAAATAAAGCGACAACCATTTTTGTGTTAGGAAAGAACAAACATGAACAAAAAGTACTCATTACGACTTTCTTAGCCACAAAGGGCCTCTGGTTGGGTTTAAACATAAAATTCAAACTTGATTTAGTCACGACCTAACTAATGAAGAAATTCATTCCAAATGAACTTAACATTGAGACAAAATGCATAAATTAAATTTTTTAAAACTAAAAAGTATAAAATCTTGAAGAAGAAGAAAAACTGAATCGGGTGATTATTAAATATTATAATAATACAGTTGTATCGATCATATCCTAGTTTCCCTAAAACAGATGTCGAGTTTTGAGTGTGTGCATGTTTTGAGGAATAGATTGAATTTATATTTTATAAAGGTAGGGTCATTATCTTCTAGAATCCAAGCTCATCCTTTGCTTACCGCCACCGAAATTAATAAATTATTCAAGGTTGCCCATTTTAATAGAAGGTCCAAATTGACCAAATTAAAACATGTCATATGAGTAAGACACACACGAGATAGTCGTGACCGCCATTAGGCATACAAACATACGAGAGATGTTAGCAGAATCATTTGTTTAATACAATTTAATTAATTTAGTAAATCAAGTTAAATTACCCTTTTAATCTCATCTAACATTCAACCGTAGTTTTAGTTTTAGTCTCTAATTTTTAATTTATAATTTTCGGTTTTATTTCTATAAAATTTGTTAACTTTTTAACCTAACACTATTTGTTAACTATTAAGATTATAATATGATATTAAACACATAAAGCACTGATGATATTTAATTATATTTATATTTTATTTTTATATAAAATAGATGAACATATACAAGTTAAAAATAGGATGAAAGTACAGTTTAACTTAAATATCAATAAATATGAATTATTACATCATTTATTGAACATGATATTATGATTAATATTGTAACTTTTAATAGTCAATAATTAAATAATTAATATTAAAATAAAATTGTAGATTTAAAAATGAGGAGATAAAAAATTACATATTAAATAGCAAAAGTATGAATATAGAATTTAGGAAAAATGATAAGATATGATAAGAAATGTTAGTTTGTAATATGGAATAGATTTGGTTTGTAATTTTGTAGTTGTGATTATTTGATTGTATTAGAAAAAGAAAAGTATTAAGATGTTATGTGCAGAAGGATGCATTGAATGAATGAAAAAATGGATCTAGAAGTAGAAGCAGGGCATAGTGATTAGTGGCGTCCGTTAGGTGATATACGTTGGTTGGTGATCTTAGCTACTCTACCCTATATTATTACATCCTCGCTCACCAAACAAGACGTTGAAAAACCTGGCATCCCATCCCATGTGGTCCAAACTCCAAACAATTTCACATAGTTTAAGGCAAGGGTATTAAAAGGCGGCTACGAAGACCCTGCCCTTGTCACTTGTCACTTGTCACTTGTCACTTGTCACTTGTCAGTGGTCAACAAAACAACCTCACCCCCTTTTCTCATTACCTTCCTGGCTTCCTTGCACCTTCTCCACTCCTCTCTTCAATATATATATTCAACAACCATCGCATATACCTCTTGCAAACACAAACATGGAAGTATTCGATTTCAACCATGCAAGGATTTTGCCTTCTCTCAGCGCTCCTTCCTCGCCCAAGCGATTTGGCCAATTTTACTACCTAAGTGCCCCCTCAAGCCCGTCAAGGTTTCTAACGGAATTCTCAGCCTCAGCTGAGGCTGAGGCTGAGGCTGAGGCTGAGGCTGAGGCTGAGGCTCACGAGGGGTTCGCGTTTTCTGTTAGCGAGGAATCGGATAACCCCTCTCGTTCCGCGGAAGAGCTTTTCCACGCTGGCAAGATCAAGCCGCTGCTCCAAGAGGAGGAGGAGGAGGAGGACTCCGTTAGAAGCCCACTTTTGTTGGGGTCGGGGTCGGGGGCCCAGCCCATGGCCCAAGGGAAGAAGAAAGAGGAAGAGAGAAGAGGGAGGGATAGGGATAGGGATAGGGATGGTTGTTTATCAAACTCGGGTCGCAGAGGCGCACGCTCGCTCTCTCCTTACAGAGTTTCTGACCACACGTGGGAAGAAGAAGCCACTAAAGAGGAGCAGAAACCGCATCCCAACACTTCCAAGACTTCCAGGAAATGGAAACTCTCCGACTTTTTGTTGTTCCGCAGCGCCTCCGAAGGGAGAGGCTCCACCAAGGACCCCTTGAGGAAGTTCGTTTTCTACAAAAAGCCCGGAGACCCCAAAACCTCCAACCCAAGCCCAAGCCCAAAGACGAGGCGAAAGGAACCCCTCTCTGCACATGAATTGCACTACGCCAGGAAGAAAGCGGAATCGGAGGATCTGAAGAAAAAAACGTTTTTGCCATACAAACAGGGGATTTTGGGCAGGTTGGCCGGCTTCGGAACAAGATGAATATGATTGATGACGCCATTGTAAACACCACTGTCAATCCATCAACTCCTTTTTTCTTTGCCTCAACAAATTCTATTCTTTTCTTCAATTTTTTAATATATCTTTTTTTTTTTCTTAGCTGAAATCATGGCGTAAATTTCTCAGAGTCAAAATTTCAGTGACATTCTGTGTAACGTGTTCTCTGACGATTATTATGTATTATTGAAATCACGTTGAGTCTCAGACAATAACATGTACTGCTACAGATGAAGACAAATCGATATGCGTATGGATGGGCCTATTGACATTACGTTCTACCCAATTCAATTTCGTCGTAATCCAATCCTCTAGTGTTTCAACTTATTCATTACTTTCCACAAACGGATAATAATCAATTACAGTATTAAGAAAAATTACTTTCATGTAATTCAAGAATCCCAAGGGCTGGATGCAGGCTGGGATGGGATCTAAATCCAATGTGTGTCACTTGCTTCCCTAACTACGTTTAATTTCAGTATGTTTATTTAAAATTCCAGCCTATGAAAACGTAAGAGTAACATTTATAAATCCAGTAATGCTACCAACATATTTTTTAGTTAACATTTATTAAAAATTATAAAATTAAGATAAAATTATTAAATAAAATGTATAATTCACAAGATTTTATGTTTTTAAATAAAATTCAGCTAATAAAAAATATATTAAAAAATATCTTACTAACATTTTTCTTATTCTCTCTGTCTCGTAATAAGTCTTGTCTTAAAATTATTTTACACAGATAAAAAAATTGATAAATAAATAAAAAAGAATAATAATTTTTTGAAGAGAGAGAGAGAAGAGAATAATAATTTTAAAATTTTAACATTCTGTAATATAATATAATAATTATTTTTCTACATATTATTATTAGGAGTATAAATATAAAAAAAAATTAAAAACTATATTAAAAAAGTAATATGATACTTATTTTATTTTATTTTAATGTAACACAAAGAGAATCTAAATTATTTGAATTCAATTTAATAAATAATTGATTGTTTCTGGAAGAATAATAACGGTAAGTATCTAACTCAATCTTTAACCAGCTATTTTTTTCTTTTTGCGTAGAACTTTAATCGGATATTTTGCTAATCTTTTTTGTCGACAACAAAGGTAATTGTTACCAAAAGAATGATTGTCATAAAGAGAAATGATAGAAAAAATATTTTTTTATATTCTTTTTATAATGAGTTGAATTTTATTAAAAATTATTTTATAAAATAGCTTTGGCACACTGCGTTATATATAGTATCTAATTATAAACTTTCATACAATATAAAATTGATAAACTTACAATAATTATTTTAAAAGTTATAAATTAATTTTTATAATAATCATATTATTAATATGAAACATATCAACCAACATTATCGTATTATATAACATTGTTAAAGACAATATATATTGAAACAAATTTTATTATATCTAATAACTTTCATTATTTATTTATTTTTTTTTATCCATGAGAGTTAAACTCGACACCAAAAAGATTTATAATTTTCATGTATCTTATTCGATAAACGAACTAGACTCCGTTGATATTTTCCCTTTTAATTTAATAGTTGAAATGTAATTAATTTATGTTTTAAAACACCTTATTTATCTTGATAAATTATTACTGTGTTTTTAATTTTTTAATATTTCCTATTACTTTTTAATAAAAATAATTATTTTTTAAATTTTAAGTAAAGCAAAATCTAACATGCAATAAATAATTATAAGATTTTTCCATCTTGGCACAAAAATATTTCTAAAATATATATATTCGCATTTAATGTCTATACTTATTTTGGTTAAATATATTTTAAAATATGTAGAAAAAATATTGAAAATAATATTCCATTATAATTTTAAGGACGCATGGACGGTGACTAATTATGTAATGGAAATAATTTATATACAATCTTACACTGTTTGTGTTAAAAGTTTTAAAGTTTATTTAGTAAATATTAATTATTTAATATGATAATAGTATAATACAAATTAATTTTTTGAAATTAAATTCTTTAATTTCTTTTTTATGTTTAATACTTAATATTTAAAGAGGCAGAATCTGTATCATATTGTAACAAAAAATAAAAAAAAGCAATCTGTATCATATCATCCATTCATTGTGAGCTGTAAACTCCACCATCTCCAACACGTACAACATATTTACTTATTTAGTAAAAATAATTTATATTTATAGTAATATTTATTTGAGTAAATTAAACTCGTGCTATTTCTTTTTTAAATTACGTTTAATACTCATTCATTATTTGAACTTACTATATTTTTCTGACTTTAAACGATGTCTATTTCGTTAATCCATACATGTCAGGCATGTGACTTATAATTAATTTTTACATTATATTTGGTTATGAGAAGAGAATTATGTGAGAAATAGGATGAAGAAAAATAGATTAGTAGAAACAAGTAAGAAATAGGATAAAAATAAATTTATTTGGTTCAAGAGAAATAGATATAAAAAAATAAAAGATAAATAATATTATAGAGTTATTTAATTTGAATAGATGGAGAGAAAAAAAAACTTAATTAAATAAAAATGACAATTTTATCCTTTCAAAATTAACAAATATATCCATAAATTATTTATTTATTTAATTAAATTAAATTTTTATTTAAATAAGCCAAATTTATTTGATTGTATTTGAATAACATGCAAAATGAATAAGATACTAGAAAATTGTTTATTCAAATAAACTTTCAATTTATTTGAATAAATCAACTGCATACCTATTCGAATACAAGAACCCACAAGTTTCAAACCTATTTGAATAAAGAACCCATCATGAGAGGCTATCCGAATGAGAAAACTACCTCTACAACATATTTGAATGAGAGAGAAGTAATGATACGAATAAAAGTGTCACAAATAGCTCTCTTTGTTATTTCCTTTCAATTTTGAAAAGAAATTTTACAGACATAGAACATACATCTATAAATTTTTCATCTGAAAAAAGTCATACTAATTAAACAAGTGATGTTATTTCTCATCTCTTATTTTCTCTCAGTCCTCTATGATTTTTTTAGTTATTTTTCACGTAATAAATGCAATGTTAATAATTTTTTCTTATTCTAAAATGTATCACCTTCTCTAAGGGTCCACCTACCTCTCTCCACTACAACAAAATTTATTATTAATAATTATTTAACGACAATAAATTAATTGTTTTTATTTTATTATCTAATAAAAATATTAATAATTAATATAATAATCACTAAAAATGTATTTACATCACACCAAAATTTACTATTAACAATAATTATTTATTAGGAAAAACTTTAAGTCCTACATCAACTAGAGATAAGATAATTAAAGGATATATAAGTGGATAATAACTCTTACCTTACAAGTTTGTTTTGTACGATTGAGTTATACCTATAACTCACTATTCTAAGTTAGTATCAGATTATTCACCATTATTAAACTCAATAGTCCTAAACTTAAGAGGGTGTAATGGGAAAAATCTAAGTCTCACGTCGTCTATTAATAAAATAATTAAAGAGTGTGTAAGTAGAGAGTAAGTCTCACCTTACAAGTCTCACATCTCTTAAGAAATAAGACAAACTTGAGAGGGTATATTAAGGAAAAATCTAAGTCTCACGTTGATTATTAATAAAATAATTAAAGAATGTTTAAGTAGAGAATAAAAATAAGGAAATTAAAGAATATATAAATAGAGGACAATCCTCATCTTACAAGTCTCACATTAATTAAAGATAAGATAATTAAAGAGTATTATGAATCATTTCCTAAGCTTTTAGTGACAGTAGCAAAAAAATATTAAATATCAGTATTATAAATCATATAATGACTAATGTTTCTATACCCAAAAAAATATAATAACTAATGTTGAAATGCTGATAAAAGATTTTATAATAATATTTATTGTCATTAAAAATTATATTAAATGTCATGAAGAGTTTATTTTGTTGCGTGCTGTCTCCTACTTGCCTCATTCACCTCCATCAACAACCTCCGCACCATTTCTGTTGTCTCCCTCACCCACCGCAGTCACCATAAAAACCTCCGCTCCCAACGTTCTCCTCTCCCACATGACTGACCCCTAAACCTTAAACATTTCCCACGCCAACCTCAAATAAGACTAATAATGTCTCAAAGTGGCGTGAAATACGCACCAATTAGGCGGCACGACAGTTTAATGCTATGAGCCTCCAACTATGAAAATTTTGGGATATATTCATGCATTCTAGGTGCCCCTTTATTTACCATTTTATTTTGTTATTAATAAAATCATTTGCAATTTCAAAACATATCTTTCCACGGGCAAAGGAGGGAGGAGGGGTTTTAAGTAATAAAGATATTTTGGTCCTCCAATTTTAAGTTGTTATTGTTACTTAACATAGTTATATTAGGGTGCAAAATAAATGTCAAATAACAAGAGTATTAAACGCAATCACGTAAAAATATATGGGATGTAATTGTAATTTATTCGATTTATTTTAAAAGTAAAATGAGATTAAAAAGAATGTTATTTTAGAGGGGAAAATATGTGACATTGGATTCAATCTCTTTAAGAAAAATCACGCATTTAAATCTTATATGAGGGAAAAATGTAGTTAAGAGAGAAAACTTGACTAAAGGTAGATAGTCAGATTTCTCTATAAAAATGATAAAGTTGGGATATTTCATATCAATAACAATTTTTTAATCCATGAACATAATATATACAATGTTCCAAAACTAATAACCAATAATTAATATATATTCATGAGGTGTGATTTTCACTAATCAAGAATTATTTTACACATATAAAAATTAAAATTGGGAACACTAAATTGATCCCTCCTATCTCAGAAGAGGTCTTGTAACCACTAAATAAAAAGACCTAGTTACTTTGTACTAATAACATAATTTAAAAAAATATTTTATATATATATATATATATATAAATATAGACAATAATTTATTTTAATAACTTTCCTTTGATTTTCATTTTTTATTCGACACCTCTATCTTGAATGCATACCACACCCTTTCTAAATTGATTTCCATAATTTTGAAGATAGAAGATTCACAGGTCATGGGAAATGTGGGTTATGTTATGGCTAGATAAATTGATGTTTTAACATTCGCTCAACATGTATGCTTTATTTATATATATATTTATAACTACAACTTTTTTTCTTTGTTTAAAAAATAAAATTTTAAAATATTTTTAATTAATCTCTTTTTATTTATTAATTTTTTAATTTTACACTTTTAATGTTCAATTTAGCATTTTTTATCTTTTTTTACACATATCATTTCTTTTCCTTTTTAA